TATACACCGTTGAGGTAATGTCCGTGATTGATAAATTTAACGGTTTTAGGGAAAATATAATATATACGTACTTATATTAAAACCAGACCTAATTACTATTGTATATATTATTTACTTTATATACAGTTAAAATATACAAATCAACACGCGATTTAACTCTATAGAATTAAAATTAAAATATACAAGACTAATATGTTTATCCTATACTATTGAATACCAAATATTAATACAAATCCAATTATATCTTTAGTTTAAAAACATCATCCGTGCGAAAGCACGGGCCATCCTCTAGTAATAAACAAAACTTGAAACAAAACAACTTGCGCTTCTGGGTTTTTTTTTTTTTTTTCCCGTTAAAGTTTTAACCTTTAATCTTCGATTCCGAGTAACTCAAAGTTTCCAACTTAATTTCCATGTTTCTTGTTTCTTCGAGCTCTCTTGCTCCGTCTAAGTCCAAGCTACTTCCTTAGCAGTTTCCCAATCGTTCCTAAAGTTTCTAATTCTTCGATGACTGAGCTTAGCTCTTTGAATATTGAATCCGCCACGCAAAAGCCAAGTATCTCCACCGGATACCCTCCTCCTCACGTAAGCATAGGTGTCACAACCCCTGCTCCTCCGTCTCCGGAGAGACCCGTCAACACTATCAAGAAAATATCGGTATTGCCACTAGTTTTCCTGATATTCTACGAGGTCTCAGGTGGTCCGTTTGGGATTGAAGATAGTGTAAACGCAGCAGGACCTTTGTTAGCTATTGTTGGGTTCATTGTCTTCCCCTTTATATGGAGTATCCCTGAAGCACTCATCACCGCTGAGATGGGAACAATGTTCCCGGAGAACGGTGGTTACGTTGTGTGGGTCTCCTCAGCATTGGGACCTTATTGGGGGTTTCAACAAGGTTGGGTTAAATGGCTAAGTGGCGTTATAGACAATGCCCTGTATCCCATTCTCTTCCTTGATTATCTTAAATCCGGAGTCCCCATTCTTGGTAGTGGAATCCCTCGAGTCGCTGCGATTTTGGTGTTGACTGTAGCCTTGACTTACTTGAACTACAGGGGTTTAAGCATTGTTGGTTTTGCAGCTGTTCTTCTCGGGGTTTTCTCGATCCTTCCCTTTGTGGTCATGTCTTTCATGTCTATTCCAAAGCTCAAGCCTTCGAGATGGCTTGTGGTTAACAAGAAGCTGAAAGGTGTTAACTGGAGCCTGTATCTCAACACTCTCTTCTGGAACCTCAACTATTGGGATTCCATTAGTACGCTTTCAGGCGAAGTTGAAAACCCGAGTAAAACCTTACCGAGGGCTCTGTTTTATGCTATGGTTCTTGTGGTGCTTTCTTACATCTTCCCGGTTTTGACCGGAACAGGAGCTGTACCTCTTGATCAGAAGCTATGGACTGACGGGTATTTCGCCAATATCGGTAAAGTTATAGGAGGAGCTTGGTTGGGATGGTGGATCCAAGCTGCAGCTGCAACATCAAACATGGGAATGTTTCTGGCTGAAATGAGCAGTGATTCTTTTCAGCTTCTTGGGATGGCTGAGCGGGGGATGCTTCCACAGGTCTTTGCCAAGAGATCGCGCCACGGAACTCCATGGGTCGGGATACTGTTCTCGGCCTCAGGTGTGATTCTCTTGTCATGGTTAAGCTTTCAAGAGATTGTGGCTGCAGAGAATTTGTTATACTGTTTTGGAATGATTTTGGAGTTTATTGCGTTTGTGAGGCTAAGGATGAAGCAGCCGGCTGCATCAAGGCCGTTCAAGATACCTGTAGGGGTTTTGGGATCGATCCTCATGTGCATTCCTCCAACAGTATTGATTGGTGTCATCATGGCGTTTACTAACCTGAAAGTTGCAGCGGTTAGCCTTGCGGCTATAGTGATTGGGCTTGTGTTGCAGCCTTGTCTCAAGCAAGTGGAGAAAAAGGGATGGCTCAAGTTCTCAACCAGCTCTCACCTACCAAACCTAATGGAGTAAGGACCGAAGCTGATGATGCTGATGGTCTTACCTTTTAGATCATATAGGCAGAAGAAGAAGAAGAAGAAGAAGATCTGGATTTTGTACTAATTCAATACATAGTTTTGTTTTTTTCCGTTGGTTTTGCATTACACACAACCATTTGCGACAAAACTTCTAATTGTTGACAACAACAAACGTTTGAGATAGATTTCCGAAATTTTCCTAACTAAACGCACTAATTAATACTCCAATGTTTATGATGTGAATCGATGAGTGTATGGACCTAACGCACTAATGCTATCATATTACGTTTTTAACCCTTTGTAACCTTAAACTCATCAGAACCCCCTGTTTCATGTTGTATATAAAGCTCTCAGAGACCTAAGATCGGCTAAGCCTCTTTCTCCCTTGGTTCTTTCTTCCTCTTGAAAGGCTTAGTGCAATTCCGAAAGAAGAAAATGGAAGAAACATTTAGCAGCTTTGATTTAAAAGAAATTGCAGCTTTTCTTTCTGATATCGTCGCACCAACATTGACTCCCAGGCCTTCGGTGGGACACGGGATCTAGTGGGTTTTCATCATATGATTTGATGGCTGAATTGTTTGAGAGAACTAAAACCTTATCCAAAGCTCAAGTCACCAACACAGTTTTCAGAGCTATTAGCATTGCCTTGCTGAGAGGTAACATAAGGAAAGATCAACTGGAGAGAACTAGTGAGTCTGGTAAAGCAACTATCAAAGCAGTTGCTGCAACTCTAGGTATTCAAATCAGAGACAAGGGTCAAAGAAAGCTTGCTCTAACAAGCAAAACTTTGACTTTCTCTAGAATGATAGCTCTTTTCCCTCACATGGCTAGCCAGCTAATTGTCTCTAAAGAGAGCCTTTTTGTCAACAAGTATGCTTCTTTTAGTGATGCCAATAGATTTCCTGCTCAAACTCATAAGCTTCCTATTGCTATGCTTCACTCTGGATTTGCTGGTCTGATTCCAAAAGAGAGTGAGGAGGATATGGGATTCATAGACCTACTTTGCATGTGTCACATGGATTTTATGGTTGAGTTCTCTCTTTTGATTACTCCTCAAGAGCATAGAAGTTTTCATGCATTGTACGAGAATCAGAAAACCTATAACGAGGCTGCTCGTGGATCTGGATTGATTCCTGATGAAGATAGGATCGTTTACCTCTTGGCTTTTGGGTTGTTGTCTTCTGATAGTCTTGATAAGATGTTGACAGTTGCTGCAAGGGTTTCAACTTTGAATGGAAGGCAAGAAGCAAGTGTTACAAGAAACAGCTTCACAATCGTTGAAGGACATGTCAAGATTGTAGAAGATGATGCCAAGTGGCAGGAGCTATTGAAAAAAGCCAAGAACATAGTTGATGCTTCAAAGAGGTCTCAGACTCAGGTTGCTGCTGTTGACTCCTTAGATGGATTTTGATTCAATGAATTGGTTCCCTTGAGGCCTTAGCCTCTTTCTTTTGTTTCGTTTGATCTTGTTTTTGATTTCTCTAAGTTTAACTTTCTCTATTTGATCAATTATGAAAAAATTAATAATAAACAATGAATAGTATTATTTTCTCTTTTCTTTATTTGATTTATTTATTTATTTGAGGGTTCCATATGCTTGACTTCTAATCATTACTCAAAAAAGAGTTCAAGAGTATACATATCATTACTTCAGCTAGAGTTGGGAGATCACCGTTGATCAGATACATGTCCTTAAAAAGCAAGGATTAGGCCAATGCTATTTTTTTTTTTTTTTTTTTTACTTTTTTCCTAATCACCACGACATATATATATATAGAAGTACATCGATCAGATAAAAAAACACTCTATTATTCAACGTTTGGATACCTAGTTTGTTGTAAAAAAAGGCACTAATTCTCTAGAGGAATGGGAACTAAGCAACCTAGGAACTACCGGCGGCGTTGTAACGACGATGACAATGAAATCGACGGCAAAGCAGCGAATCCGTCTTCGTCTCTTGACTCGTCGAAACGTACACAACTCCCGGCCTCTGCCCCGGAGAGAAGAATAATCATCAGATTAGCCGAGGGGGAAGAAGAAGATGGAGATCTAACGTACAAGAAAGGCAGAGACCATGCCAGAACTTCTTCTCGTATAGGCATATCATCGAAGGGATGTTATCACGAGTTTAACCCTCCCACCAAGGAACAGCGTCCCGCTTCTATGGTCAAACAGGTTTCCGATATGGACTTGGGTGGTGAGGAATGGGAAGATGAGTGGCTTGAAGATGCGTTTCTTGATGCCAACGATATCTCCATACAAGGAGTCGTTAGCAACGGTGAGACATGTCGCAGCATTCGTTTGTTTCACGTCTTCTCCCCGAGACTGTTCAAGGGTGAGAAGACAAGTATCGTGCGTGCTTTTTATGATACAATGAAGTTTTGGGAGTAAGAGTAATACAAGTAATCTGCAACTTCTTGCGTTATGCTCATGTTGAAGGCTTTTTTTTTTTTTTATATATAACTTTTGTAATAATACTAAATGGGCTACTGCTTTCTTAATACATCTTTTGAGTTCTCTTCTCTTCCTCTCATTTGAGAGCATAGAACCATGCATGACTCCCAAGGAAAAGAAAACGATAGAGATTTAATATATCAAGTACAACAGTTTTTCCTAGCTTTCTTTGCTGTCTCGAAACATAAAAAAAAAAAACAAGATTCACCAAATCAATACAACAAACAAACTGATGATCTTTTAATCCCTTTTGAAATATTTTTCGGTGACTATCATAGACTAACAAAAAGAAATATAAAAATTTGTCAAAGCTAATTGTGTTGTAACTGCGCAGTATCAGGTCAAAAGCTTGAGAAGGAAGAATTTCTCCAACGAACTAGATTCGTGGGTACCTTCTCGACTTTTGTCTTTGTTCTTCCAGTTCATTCATCCAATCAGAAAGCCACAAGAGTCCCTTGTAACCATAGTATGAAACAGCGGCTAGCATAGCCATTAACATCACGACCATCAGTATCCTCTTTGTGGCGACAGCAAGTTTCTGCAGAGAAGGAACCAACCAGAAGGTATCTTAAGGAGAAGCAAATAAGGCATAAGAGACATGTGTCTTCTTGGATTTATTTTTGTAAAGACAGAATTTACCTGCAGCCTTGTGGTCTCCTTAATGTCCTGACCCCGTTCACGTCTTTTCCTTCGCTTTGATGCATTTTTCCCACTCGGTTCCTCCTTCTCCTAAGATGTTTAATTAGAAGAAAGTTGTGTGATAGTTTTTTTAAGAGTCAGGTTAAATCTGAGAGCTTTTTATTGTTGTTTCTGTTTACCTCAATCTCTTTGACTTTGCGCTGTTGTAACACCGATTCAGCCATCTGTAGTTTGCTCTTACAGTTGGAATCGCAAGGGAGGAGGCCGACACCAAACTGGTTCTTTGGTACTTCTTTCGGATCAGAACCTGTGGCCCTATGGGCTGCTTGAACATCTTGGCATAACCATTCCTTCTTCAAGGTCAGGCACTTGCAACGAGCAACCACCTTGATCCAAAAATAATCGAGACAAGTAAGATCCCACTTGTAACAGAGTAACATCTTTACAACGCAGTTGCAGCATGGAATCTAGGATATATTACCTTTTTCATGCACTTTTCTGGCAATGGACACTGCCCAGGATGACATATCTCCGGACACAGATGCGTACAGTTTGGCAATTTTCTGCAACAGCAATATCGTCTAGTTTCAAAACTGTGGGTTTCTAATATTGTTATGCAGTAAATAAAAAAAAGGGATTTGGGAACAAGCGAACAACCACAAGGGGAAACCATCAGCTGTTCGAAATTAAAAAGTGGAATGCACTAATGTAGCTCCAGCTTGTTAGATTACCTGTGACAAGGACCACGGCATGAGCGGGCATTCGTTTGCTCCTTCTCAGACAATGTATTGTAATAAATACACTCGAATGCATGCACCATCGTACCACAGTGACATGACCTCTTCACCAGAGTTTTGCAAGGTGGACAGTCTCCGGGATGGCATCGTCGAGGACAAGGATGTTGGCATCGTGGTGTTCTCTCCTGTAAATTAATATGAAAGATAAGAAAGTCTTTCCTCTAACTAACTGACTCCGCAGACTCACAGAGAGCTTTTAACAGCTTCATCAGAATAAACATGTTTTTTTTTCAAAAGCTATAAGAATCATAAGTTACTCATATAGTACTTTGAAACCAATAACATTTAATAAATCTATACTATAAAAGCTTCAAGTTATAGTGACAAATGGTTACCAGTGCCATCAAATCTGTAGCATAAGGAAAGATGATAAAGGGAGTGGTGAGATATAAAACATAAACGAAGTACCTTTTGACAGCGGAGATCACACTTTTCACAGGACTCACTTCTTCTATCCAATGATGAATTTTTTATTTCCAGGGGATGACAGGTAAACGAACAGTAATGATTCCCACATGGAAGAGGGTTCCCACATAAATTATCGCATGCAAATTCAGTTCTGTCAGAGCAAACCATCTAAGCCAATGAAAAGAAAAAGAAAACATATCAAAAATTTCGGGAAAAACAACAACAAGGAAGATCCCAAAGTCCACAAAATGGCTATTAACATGTTAGATATTGGACATGCATCTGAAATAACTAAATAAAAGAGAATTGAGACTCACCATTTTCTCTGCTGCCAGATGGTGGCCTACACAGGGCTTCCAGACAAGCTCTGGACAAAGAGGGCAGGGAGAACCCGGTGTAGATTCAGCCTGAATATTCAACATCTTTTTAGTTGGTTTAATCATAAATTCACGGTTAGGTGGAGGTCTAGGTCCATGACACCTATCTCATAAGAAGCACACAGAAACCAATGTTTATAAGGGAAATGATCAGAGAGTAGGAAAGAAAAAATGGATGAAAAAGAGCAGTATGAGAAACCTTTGGGTGCACTTGTGCCCACATGGGAATTCTTCATCACAAAGGACTCGACATGGAGGACAAGCACCATAGTGGCATTTATGAGGCTGCAAATAAACATGCCATAAATTTCATAAAATTCACAGATGGAATCAGTCATAAAAGTAAAATTATATAAAAGCCTTATTCTAATTCTTGTTCTACCTTTTGGTTTTGCCCATGTCTGCACAACTGGGTTATGTGACACAATTTACGGCATCTAGGAGGTTTCTGATTTGTTTCAGTGCCACAGGGTACCTGAACAACATTGAACAGACAACTGCGTTGTTAATACAGGTTTAACATACAGTTACAGATTTGTTCTCAAAGTATACAAAATCTATTAGAAGTATCAACCAATTAAAAGTCTAAGCCTTTTTTTTTCCGTCAAAGTCTAAGCCTATGGACAAGAAAAGAAGACACAAAAATAATGTCTACGACAATAGGCAGGTAAGTCATCAGATATGATTGTCGACCAATCAAGGCCTCAAGATCATTTTTCTGATGAAATGTCAGTAAGTTTAAGCTTTATATTCTCGCTTGTTAGATGTCAGTAACATCTCCTGCTTCCACCAGTTGAATATACCCAAAACTAAGAATTTTCTATAGATCCATCATAACAATAAAAGTAACATGACTATATCACGACTTGATAGTAAGAAAGCTATATTCACGTTCAAATCCTAATTCTCACCTCAAAATGCGTCTCACCACAAGCACAAGATATTGTTACCATTATTGGACAAGGAGCACATGGACCTCTGCAATGAACACACAACAAATAATGTCATTCCAAGTGGATGAGTTGATATCTTACAATACACAATGTTTGATCAGTCATATAGTTCCAAATTTGACACCAGACGGACAAAGAAAGTCCAGGGTAAGCTACTACAGAACATACTGGTGACAAGGAGACTGGCATTTATGATTCCTGCAACGGAGTCTTTTTCCACAAATCTGAAATTTTCGAATAAAAAAATTAGAACCCCAAGTGTGAACAACGAGACTAAAATTAAGACAAGAATGGATGAGAGAGCATGCCTCTGAGCATGGTGGACATTCACCATCACAACATCGGCGTCTACATGCATGACGTGCACAATCTCTCACTCTCTGGCATTTCCTCTCACACGCCAACTCTTGATGGCAAGGAACCTACTCTAAATTAAGTTCCCAAAATCTTTCCATCAACATTTGAATTGACTACAAAGCATCATGAAGTATAAAAAAAAGCTCTCTTTCACCTGTTTTTTTGTTCCTCCGCATCTGCAAGACTTAGTAACCACAATCCTGCAAGTCTCAAGGCACGGGCCGCGGTGGCACCTCTCTGGACACCTATGGTAGCCACAACCAAGGACTTTATCGCAGGTGCCGCCACATAAAGGAGCCACAACATCACAAGACAAGCCTTGGTAGAATCTCTTGCCACAGGGACAGCTCCTCTTTCCCTGATATGGACACAATCCACATTCGCCCGAGTGACAGCCTCTCTCGCATACATGTTTGCCACAATTAAGCATATTCTCACAAGAAGCCTCACACCTAAACACTCTCTCGCAGCAATCTTTCTCCTCCTTCACCTTACCACAGCAACACTTGTAAATCGCACGCTCCCTGCACGGTGGACACTCACCGTCATGACAAATCTCTCTACACTTGTGGATATTACAATCTAAGACTTTGTCGCAGACGTCGCCGCAAGAGAAATGCTTGTGCCCACATCGACGAACATCCTCAACTCCACCACAGAAGCATTTAGCCTTTACGAGCTTGGGGCAAGAAGCACAAGGTCCAGGGTGACACAATAGCAAGCAACAATGACCACAATTGCTACTCAACGGCCGCTCACAGACCTCACCGCAAGAATGAGGCAAGATCCATGGATTATCCGCCGGTGGATCCTCCTCCTTGCCGCAGTAACAAAGGTACCGCCTTGGAATCTTCGATTTCTGATACGATGATCTACATTTCGGACAGTTCCAGACCGCCTCCGGTTCTGTCGGATTTGACGATGGACGCGTGACTGCACGAGCAGCTTGTAGATCTAAGCACTGACGAGCCCATGACTGGATACAGAAAAGGTGAAAGACGGCGAAGCATAAGGAAGTGCAGGACCACGTAGGATCGGTTCGTTTGATGCGTTCAAGACAGATAAGGCACGAAACAGCTCCAGAGGAAGAAGATGCAAGAAACGACTGGATCTTAGCGAGATCGATTGAGGAAGGAGACGAAGATGAGTGGCAATCGAGGTAAGCTTTAAAGATGGAGCTTGATACATCATTGTGACGGTGCTGATGGTTATCTGAATCAGATCCCGAGTCTGAATCTGATTCGGAAAAGGTTTGCTGTTGCGGCGGAGGCTGTGGAGGTGGTTTCCACCGAAACTCGGTAGGGGCGGTTCCGGCCATATCAAGCATCCTTCTTCTTCATCTCCTCCTTAATGACAACGTCGAGAAATTTGGGGGAGAAGACGTCGTCACGTGATGTTCTCGTGAGCAATGTAATGACAAAGAGCTCCGGTTCAATAGGGATTAAACCGGTTCATTTAGGACAGTTTCAAAGCTTATATGATATAAGTAATACCCAAGGGGTTCCCGCGTATCGTATCGAGTATGTTGTAGGAAGAGACCGATAAGCAGAATTACATATCTGCGGAATGATTATAACTTTTTTTTTTTTGCAAACAAAATTAATAAGTCATTTAACTTTTCCTTCAGACCAATCTGATTGAAAACCGAATTATCTAACTCGAAAATACAGCCACAGAGTTTTTAAACGCCCTAATAACCCCAAAGATTTGCAGAACTCATATACAAAAGGACCTCTAAACTCAAATCAGAGTCACAGACCAAAGCATAAGAATCTTGTGGCAAGATTCAATTCCATCCATGAATGCATATCTGGGCTCAGGGTTTTATGTACTCCCGAATGAAGTCTTGGATCTGGGCGGTTTCTCCGGTGAGTCCAGATGCCTCAGCTACTGTCACTTTGTTGTAGCAATGCGAGAAGGAGAACACTTGTCCCTCGATTCCAATCGTGAAGTCATTGGCTATATCAGCTGTAGAGACTGTACTCCTTGATGCCCTCAGCTTCTCACTGCATAAAATCATTAAACAATATAGATTTAGCTCCTATCCAGGAAGATTGACTGATGTATAAGCTAATTGTCAAGAACACTGAAAATCTCACATTTCTTTCTCCATTTGCTTCCGGATAAACTCCTTGGTGTGTGCAGTGAGTTTATCTGTCTTGTTACAGCAAAGGAGGACTGGAATCTTGTTCTTGACAACATTCGCATTTGTCAAAATGTCGTACAGGTACCTATCCCCACAAAAAAAACCATAGCAATGCCTCAAGTTTTCCAGATTAAGATGCATACATTTGTCTTATGTCTGTGTATGTGGGAGAGAGAGAGAGAGGGTTTGAAATTACTCTGAAGCTGCACGACAGTTTGGGAGGAACTCCAAGGCATCGACTACGAACACAATGGCAGCTGCTTGAGGCAAGAATTCTTCTAGCTTGGGTCGAAGTCGAGAGTGCCCAGGAACATCAACAAGATGAACAGGCTTGATTTTTCCTTTCTGTCACACAGAGCAAGCATGGGATGTGGCGTTTGGTATTGTGTTAGTCCTCCATCACAATCAACTGCACGTAAAGTTTAAGATAGGACAAAACTATTTACCTTAGTGTTTTCAGTGTGGAAAACAAAAGTGCCTTCATTCGGTTCCATTGATGTTACAGTTCCCTGATGCGACGATCCATCTCGTAGCTGCCAATCAAACAATTATCATATTGTAACTCTCCAGCAATAACTTAGTCACTTACTGACTTGGACAATAGTTCACATTACAAAAGCAAACTACATTTGGAGGAAAATTATAAAAAATATCCATACGAAGCAGGTAAAGTCAAGCCAAAACACTCACTTGATAAAAGAGCACAGTCTTTCCACTTCCGCTCAGCCCAGAAAGGAGTACAGTGTTAGATTTGGTACGTCTGACCAAGCGAACTGCATACCCCAGCAAGAACAACAAGTTTAGCAACAAAATATCAAAAGTTATATGTGTATAATCAAAGGGAAATATTGAATAAACCTCAGAAATTTGCACAATCATTCTCATTGCAATACACAAACCATTTAGCACCAAACGAGCTGATACTCTACCTTAATCACAAGTCTAAAATGGTACCATGAGAACAATAACATCTTCAATTGCAAACAATAGCAGGCAGAAGAAAAACTATTGAAGATATTTAGACGAACATGCTATATGTCCTTATCAATGGCAAATGAGATACTACCATGGGGAGATGAGATATTAAATAAATTTAGCAATTTTATTAGGAAAGGATAAGAAATGATGAAGTGGTGTGTGATACATACTGGATAAGAAGAGCAAGATGGTTGTAAACAACAGAACACCAATAGCAGCATACAGCTGACTTGGTGGTATCTTCTGCAGATATTCAATTCCTTGATGCGACCACTGCTCAGCCAGAATTTTCAGATCTTCCAAGTTCTCCATTTCTTTCTCTCAAGTTTCGCTTCTTCTGCCAAGCTGTTAAAACCTGCATTCAGAAATCTAATTCAATCCTTTAAGACATAAAAGAAAAACCAAAATTATTGCTGAAATACATAAGAAGCAGAGAATATATTTCAAATCAAAGCAAACACATCCCATACAGGTGATGGACGTAATTTAGTTAATCTTATTATACCAAACTATAATCAAAGCTAGAAGCATAGAAAACTGTGTTCTCCAACAGGTATGTGAGTTTAAAACTAATAAAGAGAAAATATGAAATTGGAACTTTCTTATCTTTGCAAACATTATACCAATACTGTTGGAAAATTATCCTCCTGTTCAGACCATAAGCATCATGCTCACATCTAGTGAACAAGGAACACAATTGGTTAATCCCTATTGAAAACCATTTTATCAGACCAATCTAAACCCGTAGAGCTATACAAAATCATCCCAAGTCCCTACATTGGCTCGCTGATTCAATCAGATTTCAAAATTACAAATAGATCCCCAAAAAAAATCCGAGACAATGAGTTTAGAGTAACTGAGAGCTAAGAAATTCACAGATCTAAGTTAACTAAGAGAAACTAAAACAAATAGATAGAGGAGACAGAAACGCACGGGTGGGAGAGGAGGCGGAAGACAAATACAACCACGGTGGAAGCGGAGAAGAACACGGCGACGATGATTTAGGGTTCAGATTCAATTTTTAGATTAAAACAAGTCCTTCATCCCAATTTCTTTATTTTTTAACAGCACAATTTATTTCAAAGAAGTTAAATGGGCCGAGCAAAAGCCCATGATAAGTATCCGACGTCGTTTAGCTGTATCCGCTTCATTGCTTCTTCTGGTTTGCTACTCCGTTCTGTTCCCGCTCTTCTGCATCTCTCCGGCCGACGAACACAGATACAGTGAGTGAAACAGAAAGAGACAGTATGAAATTTAACTTCCATGAGCCAGAGGACACGCCAGATTTACGGAGATCTCCGGCGTCTAAAGAGCCGGTTCGGTGGGTTCCTCTCCAGAGCCACCCGGTTTTCGCTTCTCTTCCTTCCTCCCAAGATGAACCCGCCGTGGCGCAGCGGTTTCCGAGAAATTTTATGGCTTGGGACGGAGACTCGCGACTCTTCTACTGGGATTCTAGACGATATCTTCTACATCGATTGTCTCTGCGCTTAGGTGAACCCGAACCATCCTCCGTCCTCGCCGCAGTCCCATCCAAGGTCTTTTTGCCTTTTTTCTGTTCGCCGCTAATTCAGAGAAGTATTTGAAAGATGATTTATCCAAGTGCAAACGGTTCTCTAGTGTGATTGTTGCTGAGATTCTACTTTGGAAAATTAGGTTTAAGAAGAGTTTGAGTATGCACTAAAAGCCTTGAACGATTTTGCAGTGATGGATTATAGGAAGATCATTTTCTACTTGCTACGTATAGGTACCAAAAACCTTTAGTGTTCCTCTGCGGGTTGCTACACACAAGAATTATAGTGATTCATCATGCAAATAAAATTAATCTGAATGATTAAATGTGATTGTTTTGTCTGGAGAGACCGTACCAATGTGTGAAAGTGTCTTTTTGATGGTATTTGCTATAAGATGATACTTATTTGAATGAGGAGCTTGGGGACGGATAGCTGTTGGTGACTATCCTTCTAGTTTTGAGGATTTGAAAGAGTTGTTTTAGTTCTGACTTCTAATTTTGATTGGCCGGAGCTGTTAGAGAAAAATGTTTAAGAAATAATGTGATTAGTTGATCTGCTATACTTGTGCATAGCTGGTAAGGAATGTACAAGGTTGTGCCATTTTTTTGTCTGACTTAGTTTTGATAAATATGATTTTATAGGTTATGCAACCAGATCTCCAGCTGACATTTTCTGTTAACAAAATCTCCATCAATAAGTCTGGATCGGCTGTACTTCTTGCCGGCGCAGATGGGATATGTGTGATGTACCTATTTGGACGCGCTTCTGTGATAGAAGACAATGTCATTTGCAGGTACTGGTTTACATTTCCCAAAGGAAATGCATCTATATTCATGGTTATCTTGATTTTCATGTTACCTGGATTAAATTGATGGCCTTCTGCTACGTAATCATTTTGTATTCTATGGTTTGCAGGGTAGTTACTATTGGTTCAGAAATCTATACTAGTGGTGACAGTGCCATAAAATTGCTACAAGCATCGTGGCACCCTGATAGTGACACGCATTTGGGAATTCTATCCTCAGACGCAGTTTTCAGGTAACAATCTTTTCGGTTGATAATGAATGTGGATGTACAGCTCAATATATTAATTAATATCACTTTGGAAAGATGTTAGAGAAATTGTATAAGAAATTCAGTTACAAAGAAGTCGATTAACTTCTGGCATGCAGACATACTATGTTACCATCTGCTTCAGTGTCTCACTCTAAGGAGGTTTAATCATTCCACTTAATCCTAATTTAAGATCTTCATGTCTTACTAAAAGTATTTTGCATGCTACATTTTCTGCTAGGCTTTTCGATCTGTCTTCAGATGCTGAGCTACCAGAGCAAGAATATTATCTGCAGCCCGGTGAGCCAGGAAGATCTAGAACCCCTTCATCAATTTATACTGCTGATTTCAGTTTTGGAGGAGATCATCTGTGGGATAGATTTACTGTAAGTTCAGTACTAATTTTTAATTCACTTGTTTGATAACTGACGGAGATTTACTATTTTGTTTAGTTGTCTTGTCAAACAGAGCCAAATTACATGTTCTGGTCTTGACCAAAGCTTTCAATGTGCAGGTCTTTATATTATTTACTGATGGTTCAATTTATATCCTGTGCCCAGTTGTGCCATTTGGAAGGTAGGCAGATGGTGGTTCCTTCTCCTTTTTATTCCTCTCTAGCAGTAATTGGATAAGTTTCTTATTGCATTCATTTGTATCCTGGTATCTAAACGAGAT